CCAATAAAAACTACCTTAAGCGGACAGGCTATTATAAATACTTATGTTGCTTATTGTTCAGTGTTTCATGTAGTATGAACAACAGGAGGGATGGCTGTAAACACTAGACTGTAGTAATTTTAGAGAGGGAGACAGCAAAATGGTGAGAACATATCCTCCTCAGATACTAAATGGACATAAGGCCGTGTTGTGAAAAGGTTAGGTAATCTACACTATACTGTCAGTATGGATGGTAAAGATCTGAAAAGACTCATAAATCAGCTAAGGCCATCATATCTGGACACTTCAGTTGACTCAAAAAAATTAACAGAGAATGATGAATTAGATATTTATCTGCCATATATTCTTGATATAGATCAATCCAAGACTATGCCAATGCCAGAAGAACCTGGAGATGTGTCTCCTGAGGCAAATGTGCAAGAACCTCAACAACATAACAGAGGTAGTCAGCCAAGGAAAATTCCCCACAGAACAACTTGAGGGAAGTTACCGAAGTACCTGGCTGATAGCTATATAATTGGCAAGGTTAAATAAGTCCTTGATATTCATTAACCCCACTAGGTTCTCTTGTAAGGGCCAGTATTGTATTTACTTAAAGGAGGAAGGAAGTGTTATGTATATGAATCTATTATAGAGTTCCTATTTAGTTGTATAATTTGTATTAAAGTATTACTAACAATATATTTAAGTTACCCCCACAATGTGTTTTCTATGTATGCGTGTCCCCTCCTGGCAAGTATGTGGATTGCTATCTCCTCCCATACAAGATCTTAATTAAAAAAGCAGCATCTTACAAGAAGGCATATAATAACCCTAATACAGAAGCCTACAGGAAGACCCAACGTGACGAATGTTGACGACGAAAATAGGATTACATCAAGGGATTTATTAGAGCAATGAACTATACATTTCAGGTTAGTACATGACGTAATTGTGATTTCATAAGTGCGTGCAAACATAACAAATCACAGAGAAATTTATAACCAAATCAGAACTATGCCAGATCATACACAGAAAATGTTAAATGACCTTTTTTGCCACAGTTCCAAGTACCACAAAGGACAACTTGAAGGTTGTGCATATTCAGTTAGGAAACTAATGAAATTAACATTTTACATATTCCTGTTGGGTTAAGTTAGTTTTCTAACTAGGAAACTGAAGGTTTACACAGAGAATGAACAGTATAGTATACATTTTCACTAAGTCTGGTAATTCTCTTGGAAAATTAAGGTTTACACAGAAAATGAACATCAGATTCATTCAAACTGCATCAAACTACATGAGAAATTTTAAATGATACCAGTGGGTGTTGTCTGCATAAATAAAACAAATTATCAGGGGCAGATGATAACTTTACACACTAAAATGTGAATCTCATCGGTGAAATTCATATTTGGGGGGATAACAGAAATTTTAATTAGCCACTTGTTTGATTCTTTCCTCAGGTATAGTTTGTTTTACATAACTATATGGCACAAGGTAAACTTTCCCTGCAATGAACAGAACGAAAATTTCAAGACACTTTTCACCTATAGCATTTCCTTTGCAAGTTGTGTAATACGTATTCTTCTAGTATAGATTTATATAACGGTTGCATCAAGATTGGGAATACTTATTAACACTCTCATAGAGGTAAAAAAATATATTCATTATTATATGAAATAATCTATGCAGGCAAACAATAATGTCTATAATGGTCTCTAATTCAATATATAGAAATCCACTATATCATCTGGAGGTCCAGAGGAAAATTCAGTATCTGTTAACACACTTTTTTGTTAATCAGACCCATAGTAACGGAGATATAAATTGATAGGGGTGGACATGGCAGATAGGGCGTCGGCTTCCTACGGGAGGCAAGAAGGGGAAGGTGTTGCTTGTATGAGGCCTAGACTCGTTCTGCCTGTTCCTGGGGACACGGGTCATTCCTCCCTTTGCCCTGCCCAGGGGCGTGGCCTCCTGCAGCGGGCCCCCAGGACCTGGGGACACTGGTCAATTTTCCCTTCGCCCTGCCCAGGGGGTTGGCCACCTGCATCCTGTTTTCTCTGGGGGTCAGGTCAGCGGCAGATGTTCCCATTTGGTGAATAATGAATATCACACCGCTCTGCCAGGTATCAGCTGCCCTATGATGTCGAAGAGGACGCTTCCTGCCGAAGATTTCGAGGACGTCTTTACGAAAGCGCAGCCGAGAAGGACCTTGACGGAGATCTGCGAGACGTGCATTGGGCGAATAAGCTGCCGAGTTTGACCTGTACGCGGACTACGAGGATGTCTGGGCGAGGACCTGCGCGAGACCAGTCGAGGACATGAGGATGTCGAGGACGAACGGATTCCCAGGGATCAGAGCAAGGATGACAACACAGAATGAGCAGCCACTGAGATGCACCAAGGATACCACACCCAAGATCGAGGACGAGCAAGTTAGAACCAGCCAGATTGAGCCACCCTTGAGGAAGTCTAGATCGCCTCGAGGACGAGCCGTGAGTAGGTGGCCGAGCAATATACAATATACTGTATAACGCTACTTATCCTCCAAGGATTACCCCTATCAGTCAGAGTGTGCCGTGGGTCGGTCGAGGTCACACCTGCCCGCTGGGCTGGCCTTGCCGCTGACCTCAGGTGACCAGCCCATAACCCAAGACTTGTCATTTTTGTGTTATCAAACCGTGTGCTGAACTCTTATCAATAAAGGGTTTTAAGCCATCCAAGCTTTTACTACTCCCTGTCACCAATGTTTTGAGGTCCTTCTATAACCCTTTACAATGTCAGAACTGAAGAAAAGTGGTCGCAACAAATGTCTTGGGAAAAGTAACTACATGGCAATTAGGTAGGCAAAGCCTCCAATAGGAAGGATTTAGTTCATATGATAATGCTGGTAGATTCCTAGGAATACCCATAAGGTTATTGGCAGGAGTAAAAGGGACTTAGTCTCAGGGGATACATTTACTTTGTAAATAATCACCAAGACTCACTCATTTCCTGAATCAAATAATTTGTGATGCAAAATAAGAATAGTTTCATGCATATAATGCCTTGAATGGCAACTGTTTAGTTTCACACAGCCATCCAACCTTGCAATTATCATTCTTTGTTTCCATTATTCTCATTGTAATATATGTGAATCTGTTGTTTTCCTTTGCATATGATACCTGTTTATGAAGTGACTGCACTTCTCTAAGAGTAAGTCCTTATTATTCCTGCCACATCTGGGAATCCACAAACTTTGTCATATGAACAAAAAACTTTCCTGACATGGGGGTATTATCCCCAGATGCCCAGCAGATCATCAGATTTCCTTATCAGGGGCTTTGTCTCCAGACCCCACTCAATCGCTGTGAACTTATTCTCTGTGCTGCATTAGTCACTTCTGACATTCTTTGGCTGAGCAGATTATCTCACGTACCAATGTGTGTAGTTTTTCCCTTTTTTTATGATCGTGTCATTGAATTTTCCTGTAAATATATACCAAAGTATTATGCGTTGCATAATTTTATGATCAATTTGCAAAGGAAATACCATAAATGCAGAGCATCTTAATTTTGGTATATATTCAGTTTTCCACAGCCATATAATACAAGGTAAATTTTGCCTACAATGGACAGAATATGGATTTAATCTCAAAGTAGTATAAACATTATAAACATTTATAAACATTACCAATACTTTAATCCAATGCCGCCGGGAAAATGATGTAATCCTTTTTAATTTTTTTTGTAAAATGTCTCTGCACATACATGGCTCTGTTAGAGCTTTGCCACAAAGGAGTCAATTAGTAGACCTTGTGACGTTACCTGATTTCACCTTTCCTTGAATTAGCGGGAAAAGCTTTTTTTACTAATGCTATCAATATTGATGGTGTTATTTTTATCATAGATATTATAATTACTATAATGTTATAAACATTTGTAACAGCAAAACAAAATAACGTAAAACATTTTCCTAAACCAAGGAAAAACGTAAATGGGCGAGACGGGCAGTACTCGTAATTGGCTCATTGGTAACTCAGTACAAGAGAAGCCATCTGTGTAAAAATTAATGAAGTAAACTCACAGTGGGCATGGCATGTACGTACATGCCATGCCCAGAGGAACTGGATTAATTTATATCAATTGCGATGGAAAATAACGAGATTCATGAATAATACAGCATTGATAATTTAAAGAAGGATTAATAATTGCATGACTGGTTGGCTGTGTGAAACTAAAATATTACTTTATTTTCTGTTGTTCTCTCTACCATAGACATTGTTTATCTTTTACCACATGCCTGCGTGAAACAAACTATAACAAAATAAGTACTGTCATCCTAAAGCGTACATTGTTATGATGCTGTATTGAGCATATGTCCTATACATAAACTTGTTATATGTTATCACTGGTACAACGTACCTCCGTGAAATGACGTAAGACAATGCCCAAATTATTCTCGGAAGATTCTTACACAGAAAAATATACGTAACAGGAATGAATGACATCTTTACGCAAATATCTTAAGAAGAGCCAAGACAATTTCGTGCCAATTTATATTATTACTTACCAAATAATATTAACAAGTTTACCAACACCTTTTTAAAGAAAATAATGTTCTGGAACAGAGGTCAACACAATGATGAACTACAGAACTGTCACTGAGATGAAACAATCCTCCAAGTCCACAAACCACTTAGTCTTCCATTCTAAAAGCAGCAAAATCGAGTACATTATATCCTTAGACCTACCAGTACAATTCTCAGCATGAGCGCGTGAACGTGTCTTCTCCGCGTGGACTTCGTCTCACGTCTTCAGGCTGAGGACCTTGGCAGTACTTGAGAATTTCTCTCTTTCGGTGCTAGTGCTATGTTACACGATTACCGCCTTCAATGCCAGAGCATCTAAGAAGCCAAGGCCGTTCAGAACTGTTTAATGAACATAGTAACTCGATATTACCTTCCTGTCCCTTTCTTCCAGTTTGGGAGTAAATATGTTTTGAAAAGCGGGTGTCAGCAACTTTATAGAACTCCTCTACCGAATGTAAGTCATTGGCGTATCTGAAATGGTGATGAATTTCATGTATTCCTATACAGAGAGCGTGTAGAGGCGTGCATACATACTACAGTATTCTGGCCGACGCTTCAAGCAAATTTTTTTACATTATATATATAGATAGATTTCTAATTTGCGATATCCTGTTCTCGTAAGAATCTATTTCATGACCTCAGACAACAACGATCTCTTATTACAGTGCTATCCTCACATATCAAGAAGTAGATAAAGGATGTTCTTTACACTCATGAGCCGAGTTATCTGCTTGTTTTTCTTGCGTTCGATATTATTTTGTTTTAAATATGCTTGTTACCGATTGCAGCCATTATATACTCATGAGTTTGTAAAGTTGCAATTAACGCTGTACTTAATTGATGTTATTCTTATTACAGCTTTTCTTATGATTACTGCACGAATAATTAATAACCATGCAGTTACAATAATCCTTTATCCTAATGTTTAACATTTCCATCATTTCCTTTACTGTTTTGTTATCGCATTGGAGAGTACAGTGATGCATAATTAATATTAATCTTCATTTTAGACACGCTATCAGAGCAAACACGCATGCACGCACGCACACACACACACACACACACACACACACACACACACACACACACACACACACACACACACACACACACACACACACACACACACACACACACACACACATACACACACACACGCGCGCGCGCACACGCACACACGCACACGCACACGCACGCGCACGCATGTACACGCACACGCACACACGCATGTACACACGCGCGCACACACGCACGCACACATACAGTATATACTATTTCTCTCTCTCTCTCTCTCTGTTTTTTTCACAAAGCAATATTCTTCTAACAAATGCGTGGAACAGATTTCTAATACTCCACTGTGAAACCCTCACAAACAAACATCTCAAAAGCATCACATTTACTAACGCTAACACTACCACTTCTACCCTAATCCATCCCTGAAAATTGAGCTTGCTAATGTTATCTGTGGTATTATAATTATTATTAATATATTCATCAATGTCAATGTTTCTATATTTTGGTATAGCAAAGCTTTTCTCATTCAACTTTATAAGTAAATGGGAAACTGACTTCACCCTAATTTTTTGCAAGCATAAGTGCAGCTCATATTAGTGATTCCAAAATGATACTATGGTTCTTGGAACCTGTCTAATGCAACAGCATGTCAAATGTCACAAAAGCAACGTTATGTAGACATTTCTGTGCTCTGTGAACTGTCAGCATTGTCCTTATTTACACAATATATCTATAATTTCTACATTTTATTTATTTTAAGTCTTGTTCTAATGTATATCTCGCTTAAGAAGTATATATGGTCCGCAGAACTAAAACCCCAACCAAAATGACAATAAAAAAAAAAAAACGTATACAAAGCCCCAACGCAACACTTTACAGTGAACTGCTATGTCCATTTTACCTAGTCTCGCCCTTTATTAGTTTTTAGTGGCAAAGCTTCGGGGGAGGGGTAAGAAAAACCGAGGCATCGGACATGGAAAGGGCGATCAGCCAAATTGCCCAAAGCAGAGGAGAAAACAGGTAAATACTCTCCCACGTGGTCGTCTATGAAGACATCCTGCCATCCAGCATCACCTGCCCACGACAAGAACCTTTGGAAGTAAGAAGCAAAGGTCACCTGCTGAAGGTTGAACCATGGCGACAGGTCTACAGACAAGGCTGAGTCCAGAGCGCAATCCTTCAATGACAAGTGGATAGACTTTATCCCAACCACTCGAGTTGTCATCAGGTGAAATGCCTGGGCCTTCGCCATGCATTCTATGGCCTTAGAAGTAATGAAGACGAAGGGATAGTGTGAGGAACCTTGCCTGTCGATACATAAAAAAACATTGTCAGGTTAGATAAAATGGCGTGGATCATCTTCTTAGAAGGGGAAGATCCCCAGACGAAGGAATGCAAGAATACATGTAGCTCTCAAAGTTTGATGTGAGCCTGAATTGAGTAGGGAGGACTATGGCCCCGAATCATGATGGCACCCTAGTCCCAATCCGAACTGTTAGTGATAAAATTTAGTCGAGGGTTGGAAAGAACACTGAACTCATAGCGTCTACCTCCGACGAAGAATGCGAGGAAGTGGCGAAACCTCCAGTTGATCGGAATGAGCCAATGGGTGTCCTTGAGTTCGACGGCTGTTGGTTAACAACTGAAGCCACGTGTCACATGAACCTGAATAACTGGTATCAATAAACACTTGAAAGTTTAGAAGGGAGGTTGGGAAGCTCACATTAAGAACAAGATGGATCTTGGGAAAGTTCCTCTATGATTCCTCGAAGAGGAGACTCAGTTGTGCCTTTCCATATGTTCGGTTATGTCCTATGACAGGAGACTTTCAGCGTGATCAAAGATTGAGCCTGCTGTGACAAGGCTATTCAAAAGAATTGGCTTGGCTGCCTATTTACAACCACATGAGACCCGACATCACCACTCTGCTTAGCCCTGTGCCATGCTCTTGGTATTCAAAAAAAAAAAGGTCGAGAAGCTACCAGAAAGGGTGCTACTTGAGGAAAAATTAGACCAGACATGTTGGGCCCGGGTAGAATAGGGAAGATTCTCCGCCAATTCAATCTCACATTAGGATGTTCTCGCTCTCCGAAGAGCAGATCCCCCCCGAGGCGCTTAACAAGGAAGAGAGAGGCAAGAGGTACAGGCACTACGATGGGAACTCTTCATTGCAGGAATATGGAACCCTCTTTTATTGTCCATTGTATTATATTGTCCACTGACTTAATGATACCACTGACTTAAAGGAACACCCCTCCGCGCCCGCCAACTAAGAGAGGACGGTAGGGCTGAGGGGGAATTAATGTAGTTTAGGCAGAGTTTAAACTACATTAGGACTGTGTAATACTGTTCTAAGGGGAGGCTAATGTGGTTTAGGCAAAACCAAAGAGGGCAGACAAGGAACACAGTACTCTTGCAAGCAGAAACATGGAGTCCTCTGGTTTAGTACCCTGCACAAGGTTAAAGCCTGTGGAAAACGATGTAATGCTGCTCCGAGGAGGAGCTAACGTGGTTTCAGCAGAGCTCTGGGGAGAAGGGAAGGGACACAGGCATTAACAACGAGGTTTTCCTTTGTCATAGGTTACAGCATAGGAAAAACATGGTGCTTGGTCTGATGGAGACAAACTTAGAGGGAAAGCAAAGACCACCGCTTTGAGTGGCAACTTAGCTTACAAGTGGCTGGGGGGGAGGGGGTGCGGAGCCTAACTGCACACACAATTGCAAACATGCCACGCAGACAACATCCATAGTTAGGTAGCCACCTTCCATCCCTTTTTGTTTCTCGAGCGACAACCCGCCCGTCCCCCATGGGAAATCCCCACTCTACCTTCGCTACTCACGTTAGTGAGAGTGAAGAATTAGATTTTTTTTTTTGAGATCAATTTTCCATGATAAACGCCACTAATAATTAAATTTAGGCCTGCAGTGATCTTGATTTTGCAGGTGACACGAGAATAGGGTAGGCTTAGTCAGCATCTCACCTTAGACCCGCAGCACTTGTTTACACCAGAGCAGCCCGTGCGGCTTTGACCCCTAAGTAGGGAGGCCCAGTAATCTGGGGCGTCCTTTTTCTCTGATCTGATTGTTTTCCTTTTCTCATGTGACTTCCCTGAGCCTGCCGGAGCTCCCTTGAAGGCTCCTGTATTTCGCTTAGGGGGTGAGCAGGTAATTACCGTCCTTCGCTTTGGCAAGTCTGTGGGAAGATGTCATACGCCAATTCAATCTAACATTAGGATTTTCTCGCTCTCCGAAGAGCAGATCCCCCCCGAGGCGCTTAACAAGGAAGAGAGAGGCAAGAGGTACAGGCACTACGATGGGAACCCTTCATTGCAGGAATATGGAACCCTCTTTTATTGTCCATTGTATTATATTGTCCACTGACTTAATGATACCACTGACTTAAAGGAACACCCCTCCGCGCCCGTGCAGACACTATTTTACCAAAATGTAAGTAACTAGTCACAACCGACCTACTTACAAATTTTGATCCTAAACTGCTGGATATATTGTACGTAAACACTCGATCTAACAATATTTTTTGGCAACAACTTTACCTCTTCCATACGATAGAAGAAAATATAATTTTGCACACAATATTCACAGTGAAAAATTAAGGGAAATGTTCCAATTTTAATATAATACACAAATATTAATTTTCAATACGATCAGGTAGTCTAGCCACGCGATCAAATTTTCAAGTGCTATGAAGACAAAAATCTACATATTAGAAGATTCTCACTGATGATCTGTGAATTAAGAAAGAACCATTTCATAATGCAATAATTTAGAAAGTATGAACGATTTTTTTTCTATTAATCATAACTATATTAATGTATCCTTCCAATATACCCAATAACTACAGATGTGTGTGATGTGCTCCCTGCCCTAATGTTTAGTTACCTGGTCCCCACAAAGATGTTCTTAGATGTATGTTAACATTTCGGTTTGAAATTAGTCGTTTTTATGTATTTAACAATAGATTTAGAAAATTAATAAAAAATTATAGAGATAATGGACTGGCAAATATCCAACGCCCTGTTCTCAGTTCTATGTTTACACTGTTGTACCATCCAGCGTTCGTACACATTCGTGTTTTTTTTTCTTTTTTTTTTTGACTCGCACCTTGTTAAAACGCAACAGCAACTAATAAGATTTGTGCCGCAGGAGCTATCCTAGAACCCGGGGCCTCTCGTCTCACTTGGCATTGTTGCTTCTGAGTTCAGTAAACAGATAGACTAAAATACTTTTTCACAGACCTTTTTTACCCATTCTAGTGCTTTGCCTGTATCTTCAGTGATCTTGATTTTGCAGGTGACACGAGAATAGGGTAGGCTTAGTCAGC